TTGATCGTTATCGTCTCGGTATGATTTTAGTGAGGGTCATAAACTTGCACCTTCACCAGCAGGGATAGAATTTGAAAAGTTGAATGACCCAAAGGCTCAAACTTCTTTTCAAAGATACGGTCAATCAAAACTCGCAAATATTTTATTTACTCTTGAACTTAATAAAAGACTCTCAGGAACAAATGTTTATTGTAATAGTCTCCATCCAGGTAAAAAGATATTTTAAGTTAGTATTTACAACATAATACGTGTATAATAAATTATTCTAAATGATATACTATTTAATATCAATAACTGCATACGTATTAATAAGGTCTCATAAAGACTGAGTTATTGCGTGGAGTGGAAGCTGACTGGGGATTTTGGATAAAGCCATTTACTTATATATCTACATTTTTCATGTTATCACCTGATGATGGTGCTTTAACTCAACTTTATTGCGCAACAAGTCCTGAAATTGAAGAAAAAAATCTCCGTGGATTATATTTTGTACCATTTGGTGAAGTAGGTGAACCTACTACTCAAGGTAAAGATGAAGAATTGGCAAAAAAGCTATGGGGTTTTTCTGAAAATTTTGTTAAAGAAAAGTTGGGCGCTAACATTTTTAGTAAGAGTTATGCATAATGTTTGTATCGTTACTGTTAAGTCATGGGCTCATATTTATATTTATTCCATGGGTACTATGTAATAACCCGTGCTTTTTTTTCTTAGTTATTCACACCGGTATATATGAAATCACACGATTTTCATATAGACCAGTGCTTCAATTTTTATTTATTTACTGAAATTTTTATTTATTACAATTTATTTAATAAAAGCATTTTATTTAATATTTAAAAATAAAGCATTTAATTATATAAAATTACATATTTAAAAAATGATAATGAAAATGACAAATATTTTTTGGGTGCTGGTATTCGTACTAGAGTTGTTGGTGGTGACTTGCTACAATAGCCAATCAGATTTTGATAGTCACCAGTTTCACCTCCAGGGTCATAGGACGACATTCGTATGATTGGTAGATCTACCCGTGATTTCCCGTAATAATTAACCAATCAAATCAATCAAAAAAATTAATTTCGCAAGTAAATTTTTATTATTATTAGCAAAGCTTTTTTACATTTAATTTTATATTCAAACCATAATTCTATTTTATTTTCAGTCGTCACAACCTCTACTAGAGATACGCCAT